TAATATAAAAAAATGGCTTGATAGTCAGGCAATGTACCAAATCTTTCAGCCTTCACTGAAACAAATACCTTATACTAGTTACTCTAAAATAACGAAGCCAAATACCATACACCAGTGTGATTTAATCAAAATATTATATGACGTGAATACAGATTCACTAGATAGTAACCCAATATTTTACTATGTATTATTAGTTATAGACTGTGTGACTAGATATAAAGATTTTGTTTTTTTAATGCTAAAAAGCAGTGAAGAAGTTGCAGATACATTTAAGAGTAAATATGATAATCCTGACAACCCTCTTAATTGGCCTCGACTATTGCAATATGATAAAGGTTGTGAGTTCATAGGAAGCATGACATTGATAATGGATAAACATAATGTTAATATCCAAAGAATTAAGGCATGTTTTAGACATACAAGCATGGCAATAGTCGATCGTTATGCTGGATTATTCGAATTAAGAGTTTTTAAAAACCAGTATGTGATAGAGTTTCTTCTACCTACTGGCGAATACTGTAGAGAATATAAAAGGTTTACACGAAAGATTGTTGACAATATGAATAGCACTCCAACCTGACTAATTGGAATAAGTCTTAATGATACCATGAAACTTAAGCAAATATATTCTAAGCCATTGGTAAAATAAAATCATCCAATAGGCATTGATGAACCACAACTACCAAAGAATACTACTGTTCGATTTCTGCTTGCTTTCGAAGAGTGGAAAAATGATCCTTTTGAGCAACATAGAATAACAGATCCTATATGGTTGCCTAGCCTCTATAAAATTCGAAGAATTGTTGTTAAAAAGAATCTCCTAATGCCTGTTTTATATTATTTAGATAATTCAGGACTTCAACATCTCTTTGTGAGAGAACAATTAATGCATATTAAGAAAAAGCCTATACTTCCTCCTAGATGGTTCTTATCGGAAAGGAGCTGAATGCATGCAAGGCGCTTTTTATAAAAGTTTCTAAATCAATGGTGCAATAGGGAATTGTGATAGGGATTACTCCTTCTCTATAATATAGAGCCCTCTTTTTTCAGTCACGCCAAATTTGTGCATCTAGATTTATCTGTTCTTGTGGATGAAAAAAAAATCCAATTTGGTAATGTTGATTACCACTATATTCGAAGGCCAATCCTAACTCTTCATTGTATCCATCCAGATGTAACCTTCCAAGAACTTAGGTTTTCGAAGTGTGAATTTTTTATACAATAAATCTTCAAATATATAATGGCCTATTTGTCTGCCGAGATAAGGCTGGTATAGCATATATGAGGTGCTAGTATTGTGCTATTTTTGGCTAGTGTACCATCCTACTTTTTATGACCTGTTCGATAGTGCCAAATTGGTAACCCACTTGAGTATAACTTTTTTCTTTCCTTTATATAATTCTGCTTGAGTGGGTTACTATCAATTCTCTCATTTTTAGCTTCCTGACTCTTTCGATCGCTAAGGTTGATAGAATACCAAGTTATATTTTTTTTATTTCTTTTTTCAATATATTATTCTAACTTGGCATCCTACCAAAAGTATACTTTATTTTTCATTCTCATTTTCAACTTCCTGACACTTTC